CCTGGAGCTGGCCCGCACGGCCACGGCCGCCAGGCCCCGCCCAGAGAACCAGTCTTTACTCTCATGAAACAGGGACTGTCGTGAGTGAAACGCAACCCTGCTTGTCCCAGGATGCCAAGAACCAAAAGAATCCATGCAGCAGCACGTGGCACAGGACAGGCCTTGAGCTGCCATGGAAACAGGGTGCCGGTCCTCTCCTTTCCAAAGGCACGGCAGCACACCACCATCTGCCCCAGCCCACCCCGGACACAACCGGCACGCTCAGCTGCTGGCTGCCCACCCACAGCCCACAGTGCTGCCAGAGGGAAGGGGCCGATCACATTGTGTGTCGTGGGTTTGACCAGGACAGCTCTGAGCAGGACGACCCGGAGGGGTGGAGGGGGGTTCCCCCATCTCCTGAGACTCAGACAAGCCTCACTGAGTTCTGGGACAGCAAGCGAGGGCTTAAGCAGAACTGGACAGAAAACTCCTCAGAAGGACAAACTACCCATAAAAGACCAATTAACAGGCACTCCTGAGAAGGCCAGTGGGGTGTACCTGCCACTGAGCTGTTAGCAGACCACGATGGGATCGCCGTGCGTCTCTGGTAGAACAGGATATAAGCTGTCTGCTTGCAGACTTCGTTTTCAGAAAGCTGCTGAACTTCACTGTCATCAAAGCAGTACCACTGGCCATCCACTGAGTTTTTGCAATATGCTGAGAAAAAAATACAATACTATTAGGTTTTCCTCACTCCTGCTACTTGAGGTTTTTTCAAGATGACCTTATCTGCTATGATGGGCTCAGAGGAGAATGCAAGGAACAGATTGATGCAACACATCCTCTTCCAGTCTGACTGGCAAGACAGGGGCCTGAGGCCACCAGAATACACCAACACACAGGTCAGGACTTTTTGTCCACCATTTCTGCTCAGAACAGAACACCACTTGGGGCAGCTCCACTCCACATTCTGTTACTGGTGGCAGTCTGCCTCCACCAGCAAACCTCCTCCTGACTGAGCCCACCCAGGACCACACAGCCCAGAGACATACATCATAGGGCAAAACCAGACCATTTTCTGGGTTGCTGAATGGTGCCATAGAGATCTTAAGAACCACCAAGCAACTTTGTCTCTGGCTGCTCTGGGAGCCTGTGCACACAGGCCATGCTCAAATACTTCCTATGTGTAACAGCCTCTTGCAACTAGAGAAGTTCTACGTTCAGTGGCCAGGAGCACTTTTGAAATATGAAAGGCCAGTTACATTACTCTGAAGGAAAAAAAAAAAAACAACAAAACAGCAGAGAAAGAAATGCCCAGTAAAACATTTGGGGTCAACAGGTATTGTTCCATCCCTCAAAGTCATACAAGTTACACCTCCAGTATTACATGGCTGGCCCTTGTTAGCTGGGTTAGGTCCCTTTGTCAAGAAAGATGAAGTTATGGACACCCAACAGGACAATACAACCATTTCCTTTCTGGAAGGATCCAACATACATAACACTGCAGGATACTTGCCTGTATAGTGTCCTCCTTGCATGGTGCCATGATGATTGCAGACAGCATACAGGTCATAGATGTAGTCCTCAGGGTCCCTTCCAAGGCCATAAGATCTCCTCCAGGGTGACCAGTGAGATGGCAGACTCCAGCTGCTCTGGCTGCGCTTGACAACATGAGGAGTCATGTCCAAGCCACTGAGGGGGAACTTAACCATGTTCTGAAGTTTCATCCTTCGGTCTCCTTCCTGTGTAAGCAGAAGGACACGAGCTGCAGTGGCAGTGGGGCCACCACGCTTGGGGAAAGCAGGAGAGGGATGCATAGGGCAGACCAGGTGCTTCTGAAGAGGGGATCTAGTCATGTCACTCCCTGGCTGAGCAGCAGTCCCCAGCATCACTGCAGAGATCCTTACCTGTCTGAACCTTTTGAGATGTATGATGAGAACATCAGGTAAGGTCCAGAGGCTTAGTGTGATGCTACCCTGCTGCAGCTGCTTGCAGTGTGGACATCGCCAGGCGTCATCTGGGGCAAGCTACAAGGAAGAGGCACAAGTGGGGATTAGTTTTCACATTCCACAGCAGCTCTCAGTATGGGTTAGGGTTCCTCTGCTGCACCAAGCCTCGTGCAGACACTGACCCCTGCACCCATCTGCCTCCAGCATTCATCAAGCTCGTTGGGAGCACAGGTTCTCAGTGATGCCTTGCAGAACAGTGACACGCAGAGACACGTGCACCTCACGCAGAAGGCACATCCCACTGCAAGACAGAGTTCAGCTGCAGTGCACAGAAGCTATGCCCACCTTACAAATCCCAGCCCCTCTGAAGTGGTGGTGAAGAAAAAAAGGCAAAAATCAGGCAGGCTTGGCCTGAATAAAAGTATTCTCACAAGAAAACCAGCAGCAAAGAAAGAATCAGAAGATACAGGAGGCAGGTGAACTTCAAATTTCATCTCTGACACCTCGCTGCCCTCTGGAGCTCTCTTCCTCCTTATGTCCCATGGCACAGACTTACAAACTGCAGAGATTTTCATTGTTCACCAAAGAGAATGTGTCTTTTCAAAGACAACATGCACGTCCCTCCACAGCCCTGTGCTCAGAAAACTCAGAATCCAGAGAGCTTTAAGCTGTCCAACAACTTTTCCCTTCCCTCTGAAAGAAGCAACAAGAGAAGCTCCAAAATTACTAAAGCTCAATCATGGATCCACAGTCCACCTCTAGGACTATCTCTTTTTACAGCAGATTAGAGATTTCTGACAAAAAAAAAAAAAATGCCTATTGCTTAAGTGTTCCAGGCAAGGGCCAGCTCAGACCCATCCCTTGTCTGCCCTGTGGCACAACACTGTTCCTGCCACTTCCACCTCCTCACACCACGAGCGGAGCTGGAGGAGAAGAGCAGCCACACTTGTGGAGAACTGAGCTCAGTGGTCACTGTGCTGCCATTTGGGGGTCCCACTCCGTGGGAGTTGCCCTGAGCCCACACCAGCCCTGCTCAAACTTGGGAAATACACAACTGCTCCAAGAGAGCTGTAAACTCCCATGAAGAAGCCACGTTTTTCTAACCCTTTATAACACATGCCAAGAAAAGCCATCACGATTTCAAAAGGGAGGAAACTGCAGAGCAGAGGAACAAGTTCTCTTATCAACATTTGGGGTCAAAACCCCCAAAAGCAGTACCTCCCAGAACCTCCTCCTCACTGCAGAGAGACGCCCTTAGCAGGACTGGTCACTAGTGTTGTCTTATAATTCATTCTCCTGCCTCAACAAATCAGTGCTTGCAGAAAACAGCTACTCTGCTGAGCACAGGAGTTCAGGCACCAGCCAGACCTCCCGAGTCCAGTCTTGTCCCTACCTGTTCCTCTTTGGTGTACAGTTGGAAACACTGAGATAAAGTGCAGGTCTGAGGTTGGTGATGAAGCTCTCTCTGCTGGCGGACGCTTTCGGAGTCTGGAATATATTCCTCTTCTGTATTCACAAACAAGCTGCATTCAGGAGACAACACATTTACCCATGCTGCCAAGGAGCCATTCTGAAGGCACGATCAGCAGCTCTTTCCTGGATCATTACATGTGAGCAAGAGCTGACTGGCAAGAGATCCTGCCAGGGCAACACAACTGAACACAGGGATAAAACACCCATTCCACTTAATCTCCCAGAAGAAGATACTCCCTGCCCACACACCTTCTCACACTATTTGTGGGGGAAGGAGACACAGGTGAAGTGCCTGCTTCATAATGCAAAACCCCAGCTACAGAGTAAAGGGCTCCAACTGGGAGCAAGTGTGAGATGCCCACCCCCAGCCTGTCCCTGCAGACAGGGCCAGAGCACAGGGTGGCACTTCTGAGAGGTCTCTGCTGAAGGGTCACAGTTCACAGAAGCCAGCCACAGGCACCACTTTTGAGGTGAACACAGATTTTCTACTTCATACTTACTAATCTTTAGTTTCTTTGTCCCATTCTACCACTAATTTCACATGAGCAGTTCCCCCCTGTCCACATGACTTCAATGCCCTGGAGAGAGGAGCAGACAGAAGTTAGACCACCTTTCAATCTGAAACCTGTGTTATTTTCCACATGCATGTAACTTCTCTCCACTAGCCTCTCATCTTTCTGCCACTCCCCCACAACTCAAATCTACAAAGGGGTAAAAGGAATTCACACAGCTAAGAGCATGGCAAAGCTGGCAAACTGCATTTACTCCAGTACCTTAGTTCTGTAAATAAACACACTCTTGTTTACAGAACAAGCATCTACAAAAATTTCTAAAGAAAAACAGTCACAAAAAAAAAAAAAAATTACAACATGAGGATTGGTGATTTTGTTCCATTCTCCATTTCTGAGGAGGACAGACTCCAGATGGCATGACACACAACTGAACAATCCTCACACAGGTTCTTGAGGACACTCAGTCATTTCCTGGCCCCTCAGGTCTGTGAGTCCATCGCACACATCCACACCAAGACTGTCCCTTTCTGCACAGCTACACACCCAGTTCCCAGCTGACAAACCTCTGCCCACTCCTGGGAACGAGACCAACTCACCTTTCCACTGTTGGGTGGCAGAGGGGTCGCTCCTCCTGAGGTAGCAAGTACGTTATCCCTACGACACTGACCACTCGCAAGCTGAATGGGCAAACCTGCAAGAGAGAGCAGGAGCCACCTCAGTGACCCAGACCCAACCCTCCTGTGTGCAACCCTGCTCTCAGCACCACCTGACACACACTTTAACGTGTGTTTTACGTGAGAAAGCAAACGCACAAGGTCTCAAATGTGCCTACACCCAGCAGCTGGCAGAGGGGTGAGGTGCAGCAACTGAGGCTTTGTACTTTTGAGGTGGTGACCCCAGGAACACCCCTCTGCCCTCAGAGCTGTTCTCACCAGAAACACCCACTCACTAAGCAAATGTCACAGCCTTCTTTTAGGCAAACACCACTAACCAGTGGATTTCCAGTGCAGTCAGCAGTACTAATCTCTCAAGTACTTCTTCTGGACAAGGAAGGAAGTGAAGCCTGCAACTTCTTCACCTGAGCAGTCACACCTTACCTGTACCCTCCAGCAAACAGCAGACAAAAGCACAAAAGAGGTGGAATACGAGACTTGGACATTACTGCACAAAAAAGTATTGGGAAGCCATCAGTTCAGTGTGTGCAGCATGCTTATGGCTCCAAGTAACTGGCTTCCCGTAGCTCATGCCACACAGAGCTGGAAGTCCCAAACCAGACAAAACACTTCCCTACCTGCAGGCAGGCTGCAGGCCGCAGGAAATACTGCATCTTCTCCAGAATTTCCTTCTGCAGAATATCCCAAGCAATTGTTTTTTCCAAATGCAACACAAAGGGCAAGCCAAACCTACAGGAAAGAGTAGCATTTGAGGGAGCAATTAAAAGGTTATTCTGTTCAGCAGTTGGATCTTTAAACTCTGACAGTGCCCCTCTCCTCCTCACTTGGCTTTGGATGAAACTCCCCAGAAATCAGACAATTTAAAAACTCGCCTGCAGAGAAGTGCTTAAACTGAGGAGATGCTGTTCTGGCTGCCCACACAGAGGGCCCTGCTCTGTGCTCAGGCAGCTTGCTTCAGGCTGCAGAGCTCTGCAACCTGGCTGGGGTCAGCCTGTGAAACCAATCCCCATGGCTGACATCGTTCTCCAGCGGGGTCAGCACAAGTGCCTTTGCCGTGGTCATTTCCCACTTACCCCCACCCCATCTGCACTCCAGTTACACACTTCCACACACCACAGGACCTGGTCAGACACCCCCACTGCTCTCTGAGACCAGACAGCTCTACAGGGATGGGGTATGTCCTTCTGACCGGTCTGCATTCACCACTTTCCAGTAACACTGGACTATTTGAAGTTCACCAAAATTAGGAGTATTTTGCTGCATTCATTACTGGGTTTTGATTAACATGTTCTAGAAATGCAAGCTGTCACTCCTTCACCTTGTGTTTTCACCACATGGTGAGTAAAACCCAGGGCAATTAAGGAAGCAGCCAGAAGAGTAACTCTGACTGTGGAGCTGCCAGTCACCTTCTGCTCTGCTGTCCAGTGCACGCTCTGTTACACACCAGCAAGACAATCTTGTCATTGGCTGCTGGTTTAGTAGAGGACTGTTCCAGTTTTCCAGACTTCACTGTTCCTTGAGAATAAGATATTGTTCGGGAGTGCTCAGTGCCACATTTCAAGTTATTCAGGTTATTGTTCACATGTATTCCTGAAAAATTAGAAAGGAAATACTTTGTTATGTCATTTGCCTTTAATGCCCTGAGGGCCAGCTCAAGAAACTCTCCTTCAGCTCCAGAAGAGCAGGTCAGTATGGGATCAAGACCATCTTTATCACTCCTACAAAGGCTTCAAAGAGCAATTACTTTTCATAGTGATTGTTTCTTTACAGAACGAAATGATATGCAAGTGCTCACCTACCTGATTTTTCACAGCAATTTGTACAAGCACTCATAGCTCTGTCTGCCCACAAGAAAAGCTGAAGTGACAGAAACCCTATTTGTTACTTCCAATAATAAAATCTGCCTTTGATTACGCTCCTTCTCAATGATTCCCTTTCACTGAGGGGGAGATGCAGAGAAGCTGAGGGATTTGAGGTTTGAAAGAGAAAGAGTTCATTCCCGAGACTGTTTATCCATCACTAGCAATCTGATTTTAAATAACACAATTCCAGTAGCTTCATCAGGTCCCTAGCAGCTCTTTAAATTAAACCTGACAACAGATTTCACATTAAGCCAGCCCAGCCTGCAGAATCAGCCCAGGAAGAGGAAGAAAGGAGTGTACTTCGCTTCTTGATAACCTCTTGGCTGACAACATCATTAAGTCTGCTGGAATGAGCGTGGACAAAATCTGAGTTGAAATCAATACACCAGAACATCAGCTACTTGTGGGGCTTTCATTCTCAAGTATATCCTCCTCCAAAACCTCCCTCACCTAGTCACCCGAGGCGGGCACTACGTGGAGCTGCTGACTCACCTCTCTGACTGAGGATACCCTCAGGCCGGAAGATCTCTGGGGTCTCAAAGGCAAAAATGCAGTCGCTTTCATGAATGGTGTCCAGGTCATCAGTGTCACAGAAGGAACGATGGAACCCATCATAGTACATCTCTGTCAACACGATCTAGAATCAGCAGAAGCAAACCAGAACACATTAAACCACCCATGCCTGGTCCAGCTGAGCTGACATCTCTCAGCTTGGATCTTCCTGCTAAGGGATGGCACTCCTCAAAACATCCTGGCATCGGCCAGGAGCAAGGAACAGGGAAAGGATGCCACAAAGGAGAAGCTGGGTGAAGGCAGCACATAGAGAGGTCTTGGTGGGATCCAAGAGCTTTGCAGAAGCTCTTCCTACAAAGGAATTCCCCATAGGTGCCCACGGTTCCCTCGCTGCCAGCACACACAAATCACTGTGATCAGGCAGACGGTCTGGATGTTCCACTGCTGACCATCCCAATGTCACCACCTTTCAAAAAGCCAATGCCCAGGGAAAAGCATGATCCAGATGACCACAACCCCGCTCCCTCCACCCAACCACAGGCAGCAAACTCCAGCCCCTCCACAGCCCCCGCCCAGCAACCCCCAGCCCCTCCACAGCCCCCGCCCCGCGGGGGGGCCAGGAGGCGAGGGGGCGTTACCTGCTCGGTGGGGATCTTGGTCTCCGAGGAGACGGCCTCGCGCAGCCGGGCCACGGTGCCGCAGACGGGCA